CTATTGGCAGATATTTAATGTAGAATAATCCTCATGATGTTTTCACTAGTTCGTTTAATCTAAATTGTATGAATTGTAGTTTTCTTAACCCCAGAAAAGACCCTTTATATTTTAATACTTTATATTTACATGGAGGGGACCCTCTCTATGGAGGCTGCCATGTTTTTTCACATTAGTCCAGACCGGACAAACTAAACACCTTTAAGTTTTTATGACAACTGAAGCTGCCACAGGTTCTTTTTCATGTTTAGAAGTGGAGGGGTGATCAACACTCGATATCACAAAATTCTACAAACTGTACCTTTAATATAAATTGTAATGTTAACATGAATCATCATTATTTTCTTTCTTCAGGCCTTTGAGGTTGGAGGAATGTTCAGAAAATCCACCAGACACACAACAGCGTTACCATTCATCTGTTGACGTTCACGTGATGAATTTAAGTTCAATATTCAGTTTCAGCCTCCAACAACTGCTGAGGGAAATATCTGGCTCCTCAGCTAATAAATGCTCCACTATGTTCACCAGCTTGTTTTGGACTCTGTGTTCCCCACAGTGTTGAATAAGGAGCATATTATTTTCATCTTTTAAATAGCTAAGTTAGGTGTGTGGGCCGTTAAAGCCAAAACCATCAGCTAAAAGTTTTGACAGAATTATTAAGGGACCACCTTGTTTTCCTGTAACATAATAATAATAATAATGATAATAATCATAAAACCTCACTTTAATAGAACTTATACATACATGGGAGCAGAACAACACAGAACCACACAAAAATAAGAAAGATCACAAAAAATTAAATATTAAAAACTTCCTCCAACTATCCACAGAGTAAACCAAACACATGATGATATACAAGCACTCGACCAATTGAGTTTTTAAATATACATATATATTATACAACTTTTTTAAAGAAGACATAGTTCATGATTTCTACTACATCCAGCAACCAGGATCAAAACATTGTGGCTTGGGAAGTCGTACCCTGTGTTGTTACTGAGTGAAACAATTAACGAGAGGATACAAAACATGGGAACAAGGAACCACAAGTGCTTACTCTGCCACAGGTGTACGTCTCTCACCGTAACACTCCTCCTCTCACATCGGTCTCTGACTCACCTTGATGACATCGCTGCGGTGAGGTCAGCGCCCTGCCCGGTGGACAGGGAGCGGATTAAAGCTGCGGAACGCTGCTGTCACACTGGTCTCAGGGC